TAAATGTGGTTGCAAATAGCTGCTTGCCTATTGAGCCTACGATACTTTATGTTGGCCTGAGAGAGAAGAAAGGATTCCCTGTATTTTCCTGTGAACCATCTGAGTGATAGTGGACAGAAACTATTTACCTGACTGAGCTGAAACTATTTGCCTGATTAGTTTGCAAGTCAGTTTTAAGTTGAGTTTTTATACTACCTTCATCATTTTATCTATGTAAAGAGATCATACATTTAAGAACAGTATGCTTCTGACAGCAAAAACATACTTTTGTCTTCTATTCAAAGTAGATTAATCAGTCTATCCTTTTTCTGCTCCATTTGAATGACAGTATTTCAGATGATTAAATCCCAAGCTCATGAAAATTTTCCTGGTTTAACCATAGGATGGAATTACAACTAAAAGATTATGAATTTCTTTTTTTTTAAATTAATAAATCTTTATTGTTCAGATTATTAGAGTTGTTCCTCTTTTTACCCCCCATAGCTCCCTTCCACCCGGTTCCCACCCCACCCCATGTCCTTACCTGCCCCACCCCCCGCCACTGTCCTTGTCCATAGGTGTACGATTTTTGTCCAGTCTCTTCCCTCACCCCACACCCCTTTCCCTCCAAGAATTGTCAGTCCACTCCCTTTCTATGCCCCTGATTCTATTATATGCACCAGTTTATTCTGTTCATCAGATTTTTTATTCACTTGATTTTTAGATTCATTATTGATAGATATGTATTTGTTGTCACTTTGTTGTTCATAATTTTTATCTTTACATTTTTCTTCTTCTTCCCCTTCTTAAAGAATACCCTTCAGCATTTCATATAATACTGGTTTGGTGGTGATTAACTCCTTTAGCTTGTTCTTATCTGTGAAGCTCTTTATCTGTCCTTCAATTCTGAATGATAGTTTTGCTGGGTAGAGTATACTTGGTTGTAGGTTCTTGCTATTCATCACTTTGAATATTTCTTGCCACTCCCTTCTGGCCTGCATAGTTTCTGCTGAGAAATCAGCTGACAATTGTATGGGTACTCCCTTGTAGGTAACTGACTTTTTTCTCTTGCTGCTTTTAAGATTCTCTCTTTGTCTTTTGCTCTTGGCATATTAATTATGATGTGTCTTGGTGTGGTCCTCTTTGGATTCCTTTTCTTTGGGGTTCTCTGTGCTTCTTGGACTTGGAAGTCTATTTCTTTCACCAGGTGGGGGAAGTTTTCTGTCATTATTTCTTCAAATAGGTTTTCAATATCTTGCCCTCTCTCTTCTTCTGGACCCCCATAATTCAGATGTTGGTATGCTTGAAGTTGTCCCAGAGGCTTCTTATACTATCTTCATATTTTTGAATTCTTTTTTCTTTTTGCTTTTCCGGTTGGGTGTTTTTTGCTTCTTCATATTTCAAATCTTTGACTTGATTCTTGGGGTCCTTTAGTCTGCTGTTGGATCTCTGTATGTTATTCTTTATTTTAGTAAGTGTATGCTTAGTTTCTAATTGTTCCTTTTTCATATCTTTGAGGGTCTCACTAAATTTCTCGGAGGTTTCTAGAAGATTCTTGAGTAACCTTATAACTGTGGTTTTGAACTCTATATCCAGTAGTTTGCTTTCCTCCATTTCTTTCGTTTGTGACCTGTTTCTTTGTCTCCACATTTTGGCTGCTTCCCTGTGTTGATAGAGTGGCTTTGTGTGATAGGTGTCCTATAGGGCCCACTAGCTCAGCCTCCCTAATTACCTGAGGTTGACACTCTTGGTGCACCCCTTTGTGGGCTTTGTGCACAGTCTTGTAGTTAAGTCTTGATTGCTGTTGGTAACACTGGGAGGAATTGACCACCAGGCCAATTGGCTGTGAGGATCAGCTGTGTCTACAATGGGAGAACTTCTGTGCTGGAGACACCATAATGGAGTAGGACTTGCTTCAGTGGGGCTTTGGTGCTCACAGAGTCTGCCCCTTGATTGTGTCGCTTATGGATGTGAAGAGTTGTAATCTGGTATGGTCTCACTCTGACCACTGGGTACTCTGGCTCTTGGATCTCCAAGGAGGTGCAAAGTCAGCCACTGCCTGAGGCCACCCAGCAGAAGCTACAGAGTGATCTGAAGATTCCTCCTCTTTGTTTGGGGTTTGGAAGTGCCCAGATGAGGCCCAGCTATGAAGCAATGCAGGCTGCTGTCTAGGCCTTCTTTTGGAAGCTTTGGTGATCTTTGACCCCCCTGCAGTTTGTTAGGTTTTAGATTGCAAAAGAACAGGCCATTCATATGCAAAAGCCTCTGCTCACAGCTTGGATGGGGTTTTAAATTGGGTGGGGCAGGGCCTCAGGGAATCATCAGGGTGGAGCAATCCACAATGGCTGCCTGTTTGCTCTGCCTCAGAGAGGTCCCAGGGTCTCTGTTGTCCGGCAACCCCGTGCAGGAACAATGACTGCTGCAAGCATCTCTGCAAGAAAGCCGCCCTCATGTTCTGGCCCAATGTCAGACAGTCTAGTTTCTCCCTGTATGAGTCTGGGTTCCCAGAGTGTCACCTGGAATTGGAGTTCAGAGCAATTGGGAGCTTGTATCCCTCCTGATTGAAAAAGACAACAGTGTACCCAGTTGCCAGCACATTTCCACGCGTGCCTCTGTACCTTTGCACTTTACTTCTGCACCTCTGCACCTCCTTCCAGTTTCAATGCGCTTTTCTCTTTCCTTCTAGTTGTAGAATTTCCACTCAGCCAGCCTTCCTGTGGTTCTGGATGATATCTGTTTTGTCTTTTAGCTGTAGTTTTGAGAGGCTGTGCAAGGCAGCAAGTACAAGTGTGTACCTATGCTGCGATCTTGGTTCCTCTCCTCTCAGATTATGAATTTCTTTAGTTTAGGGCTTGATAAATAAACACAGTGTTGGTTTTCTAAAAAAAACACAAATGAAGGGATACATTCTTTACAAATAACTGGTACCCTCTAAAAGGATTTGCTATGATTTATCTAGACAGAGAACTGTCACAGTGCATTTTACATTGTTTTGGAAGACAATATTGGGAATCTCATACATGTTTTCCAAAGAACACTGTGGGTTTTAAAATATATATAGGGAGGAAGGGAGAGGAGAGAGAGATAGAAACATCAATGATGAAAAAGGATTATTGATTGGCTGCCTCCTACACACCCCCACTGGGGATTGATCTTGCAACCTGGGCACATGCTCTGGACCGGAATCGAACCCAGGACCCTTCATTCCGCAGGCTGGTACTCTATCCACTGAGCCAAACCAGCTAGGGTAGAACATCGTGTTTGCTTGAAGGCACATGGGCAGGTCAGTGGTAGGACAATGTATTGGGGTGAAATCCAACAATCAGCAGGAGAGCAGCCATTGGAATAATAAGATGCATGCATAGTGGCTCCATGGGCAACCGGGACCCCAGTGACCTCCCGCCCCTCCCACCCTGCGGAGCAGCCCACCTGTGCCAAGCCTCCCCCTGCTGCTGAAACAAACGTCCTAGTGCCTATTCATTGTTCCAAGGATTCCAGTTCTTGAAACAGTACCAATTACTTTAGTCAGGTCTAAATTTCTAATGCATTTATCAAGAAATGTTTCTCTAATAAATGCTATCAATTTGCTTTTTCAAAAGATACATTTAGAATGAACACAGAGGAAGAAAATACATTTTCATGCTACACTTAGGATTCATTAAGCTTCCCAGGGGTGTTTGCTCTGGAGGTTAGTTGACTTGTTTCCCAGGAGAGTTCTGGGGGCAGTAATGTCCATCGCTTCTTATGGAGGATGACGTGTCTGTAGGGGGTGCTATTAGTGGCCTGGGAAGGGTGCCAGGGGCCTTCTATTTTGTCTCTCTCCCTGTCCTCCTTCTCTCCCTAACTTACTAACTGTGAGTGCATAGACACTTTTCTTAATCTTACTGTGCCTTAGTTTCCCCACCTATAAAATAAGGCTAATACATTAACTCATAGAGCCATTTTTTTTTCTGGATCAAATGAGCTAATATATGTACTTAGCATACATTCAATATTATTTTCTATTATCATAATTATCCCTTTACTTCACCTCAGACATTATATTTATCCCTTTAGTTTCAACATCTTATCTAATAAACTCAAGAAAAAATTTCTGGCTTATTTCACTCCACCCATTTTATTTCCAACTAAATTGCAGAGTGCATGAATATAGACACATTTCTTAAGAGATCTTTGTGGTTTTTAGACCACAGCTGCACCCTTGAAAAGTGCTAGAATGAATTTGAAAAGATTGTAGGTGGTAACTAGTTAGAGACAAGCCAGTTACACTGTAGTTGAGAGTCAAGCGGTAGACAGGCAGGTCCTATTCCCACCCACTCCCACCAGTGATTAGTTGGAAAAGAATTTTTATTTCACTGATACCCTTTGATGGATCTTTAAAGTGAGGCCAATAATAATTCACAGGATTATCTCCGTACTACATGTAACACGTGAAAAGCACATAGTAAAGTCCACAGATGGTGGTTTTTACTATGACTATTGCTGCTACTCCTCTAATTATTTATTCCTTCCCTGAAATGTATTTGAACGTGGCAATCAGGATCCTGATGTGTAAGTACCTTGTTCCACAGGCAGAGAGGAAAACGAACACATGAGATGTAATTCCCTCTTCTTTGTACTCTGCTACATCAATGGTGCTAATAATGGAGTAGTGCAGAGTTTGTATTGCAAAGTCATGGGACAGTAAATGGCAGAAAAAGAAAAAAGTGCTAAGTACACAGTTAATGACTGACATCATTAACACATTTGTCAGTCAAATATATATATAATATCTATCTATCTATCTATATATATATAATATCTATCTATCTATCTATCTATCTATCTATCTATCTATCTATCTATCTATCTATCTATCTATCTATATATTTTAAGCACCGAGACAGATAACTGGGTAAGAAAGCACATGCAAAAAGGTATAGAAAACATACTTAGAACTTTTTGTGAACATTTAAATAAACTGTTTAAGATAGAAATGATCTATGAGAGAAGACGGGTTCCTTGAAGAGTTGCTCGGTTACCTGTGTTGGAGGCACTAATTCCAGCTCTGAAGCGGACTCGGCGTTCAGGGCGCTTTTCCCAGCACTCAGTTCAGGCTGGGATCTGTGCTCGGAGGACCTGAGGGGGGAATGAAGGAAACCGATGCACACTGAGAGGCAGTTAGCTAGAGAGCCAGCCGAGAAACCTGGAGAACTTGGATCATCGAGAGCCGCAGTAAAGAAACTCTCACCAGAATTTTGATTAAAAATGTAACTTCTATATGTTTTTATTTTAATGACCATCGTTGGAATTAAAAAAATTATCTTTATTGTTGAAAGTATTACAGATGTCCCCCCTTTCCCCCTATTGACCTCCTGCACCCCCAGCCCCCACCCCAGGCCTACCGCACTATTGTGTGTCCATATATGCATATAAGTTCTTTGGCATTTAAGTGGCTGTGACGTGCTAGGTGTTATTATCTCTGAATTAGAATTCAGTTCAATTATGGGCAAAAAGTAAATACATGTAATCTTGTTTTTGTTACAGAAAGTTCTTTTTTATTAAAAAGTATTGTTTTGGGGGTAGAGATTCTCACAAAGCATCTCAGGTATGACTTAATCTTTATATAGAACATGAAATGTCATAATAAGCAGAGATGTGTGAGGGGCAATAGGAGATTGAGACATGTTGCCCTTTAGGAAGCTTTAAAAATAGGGTAGCCCTGGCTGGTTTGGCTCAGTGGATAGAGCGTCGGCCTGTGGACTGAAGGGTCCCGGGTTCGATTCCAGTCAAGGGCATGTACCTTGGTTGCAGTCACACCCCCAGTAGGAGGTGTGCAGGAGGCAACTGATCAATGTTTCTCTCTCATCGATATTTCTAACTCTCTATCCCTCTCCCTTCCTCTCTATAAAAAAAAATCAATAAAAATATGGTAAAATTCAGGTAGCCAATTTTCTCATGGCCTCCATGGATTACCCTTAAATAGTACATTATCTGACAGTGATGATTAAGAAAGTCAGAAAAGGTTGCCTGTGTAACCAGAAACATTTAATTTAACTATCATTCATGTAATATATTAAACTAGAGGCTCGGTGCACAAAAATTTGTGCACTGGGGGGGGGGGTGGGAATGTGTCCCTCAGCCCGGCCTGTGCCCTCTTGCAGTCTGGGACCCCTCAGGGGATGACAACCTGCTGGCTTAGACCCGCTCCTTGGGGGATTGGGCCTAAGCTAGCAATCAGACATCCCTCTGGCAGCCCGGCATTCCTCGGGGGATGTCCACTTGCCAGCGGGGAGCAGGCCTAAACTGCAGTCGGACATCCTTAGCGCTGCTGAGGAGGCAGGAGAGGCTCCCACCACCACTGCTATACTGGCATCCATCAGCCTGGCTTGTGGCTGAGCAGAGCTCCTCCCATGTGAGAGCTCCCTGACCACAAGAGGGCAGCTCCTGCATTGAGCATCTGTCCCCTGGTGGTCAGTGTGTGTCATAGTGACCAGTCATTCCCAGTCTTTCTGCTGTTAGGGTCAGTTTGCATATTACCCTGTTACTATATAGATAGAGGCCTGGTGCATGGGTGGGGACTGGCTGGTTTGCCCTGAAGGGTGTCCCGGATCAGGGTAGGGGTCCCGCTTGGGTGCCTGGCCAGCCTGGATGAGGGGATGATGGCTGTTTTCAAGCTGGCCACACCCCCTTCAGGGTGGGGGTCCCCACTGGGGTGCCTGGCCAGTCTGGGTGAGGGGCTGAGGGTCGTTTTCAGGCTGGCAGGTGACTGAAGCTCCCAACCTCTCCTTTTTCTCTCTTTTTTTTATTCTGGGATTTATTTACCCTCTATGGCTGTCACTGGAGCTGAGAGCCGGCTTTAGCTCTGAGGCTCAGCTCCAGCTCTGGAAGCACGTCTCTGGGTTTGTTTGGATTCTATAATTGAAACACTGTTTCAGCTCCAGCTCCGAGGCCGGCTGGCTGAAAGCAGGTTTCTGGGGCTTGTTTAGCTTCTATAATTGCAACATTGTTTCTTAGACTGAAGCTCAGAGGCCAGCAGTGGCAGGCGGGGAACCTTGGCTTCCTCCATCACTGGAGCAAGCAAGCCTCCTGTTCACTTCAGCTGCCTGGCTGCCGGCTGCCATCTTGGTTGGCAGTTAATTTGCAGATCTTGCTGATTGGCCAATGGGAAGGGTAGCGAAGTTACGATTAATTACCATGTTTCTCTATTATTAGATAGGATACACATGAATGTAAACACATGTATGCACCTATTTTGATCATCTCAATTACATGTTCAGAAAATTATCAACACACATTGATATTATGAACCTACCAGAATCCTATTGGCTGATTTATTTTTGGACAATTTAGATGGAATAATTTAGTTTTAGAGGGCACAGTAATTAACATCCTATATAATAAAAGCCTAATATGCAAATTGACTAAACAGCAGAACAACCGGTGGAAGGACTGGTCGCTATGAAATGCACTGACCATGAGGGAGCAGATACTCAATGCAGGAGCTGCCCCCAGCCTGTAGGCCCCAGGGCAGCCAAGGTGGGTGCCAGCGGGGGAGCCCCTGATCATCCTGCCAGTCACCCCACAGATTGGCCCTGATCACTGGTCAGGCCTAGGGACCCTACCCATGCACGAATTTTGTGCACCGGGCCTCTAGTTGATATATAAGGGGTTATACATGACACCAAGTATTTGGATTGACTTAACTCATTGGCTATTTTGGTACATGAGAGGAAAAACCCATACAGTCGGCACTTAAATGGCTATTTCCTGATATTGAAATACCTTACCATAAGAGTTCTTTTGATCCAGTTCTAGAAGAGCATGATTTTCTCTCTGCCATTGGATGACCCTTGCTACTGCGATCTCCATGAAACTTAACATCGTCCCATTTTTCCAGTTGTGTTTGAATGTCTATCAAGGAGACAGGAAGGGGATGAGAGGGATAGGGGGAGAATATGAGGTGCAGAGAGAAGAAGAGAAACTGATTAAGGTTGAGAAGTGTTATTACAAGTGAACTTCACTCAACTGATATTTTCAAACCCCAAGACCAATTCTTTAAGGTCACATGAAAATTAAAACATGTGTAGCTAAATAAAAATGAGACCTATTAAGGAAATTCAATTGAATTTACAGTTAAACAATCAAGTTGTTTTACCTGAATTTGTTTCAAGAGCTATATGCATTCTGAATTCTGTGCGTGAGGCCATGGAACCCTGTGGGAATGAGCACATGGAGTGCTGGGTCCTGTTGGCCTCTAGCTCAGACCATGGTTTTGAGGCACACCTGGCATGTTTCTAGAAAGAAATTCTGCTTAAAGAGCCTCCCTGTTAAAAGGAGGTGAGAAGAAACTAAAGCACCTTTCACAGCTTTTGTACAGACTGTGTAGTTTCTCGCCAAAGAAAGGAATTAATAATGGGGATGGAGAGAAAGGAGAAAGCCAAGAGAATGCCAGACTATTTTCTCCCTGTGGCTTCATTCTTCCACCTGACCTAAAGTGTCCTTGTCTCTCATTAACAAGTGTGTTACTGTAAATAAACCACTTAAACCATCTTAGGTCCATTTTTTCCCATTAAGAAAAGACAGGTTTGCTTTCCGTGTCCTCCAAAGTTCTTGAAATGAAACATTTTTATGACTTCTTCCAGAGGACATTTTCTCAAAAGCAGAGAAATTTAAGTCACCTTTATATGTATATTGTGTTATATTATAACTAGAGGCCTAGTGCACGATTTTGTTCATGGGTGGGGTTCCTCAGCTTGGCTGGCAATCAGGGCCAATCAGTGTTGTTTGGGGCCGGCCGGCCAGGGGGAGGGACCGCGGGAGGTTGGCTGGCTGTGGGAGATTGACTGTGGGATCACACTGACCACCAGGGGGCAGCTCCTGTGTTGAGCGTCTGCCCCTGGTGGTCAGTGCGTGTCATAGTGACTGGTCATAACGGTTGTTTAGGCTTTCATATATATAGATGTTTTCTATGATCTTTAGGTGAGATCATCTATACCCATGAATGCGATATCTGTTCACAGGCTTCAGATGTTCAAATCTCCATTTCCTGCTCAGCTCTCTCTCCCAAGTTCTAGATCTATACATTTAACAGTTGATTGGACATCTCCACAGAGAAATCCCAGTTTCCTCAAATACACGGTGGGGCTAATGTATTGTTTACAACTGTAATACATTTGTAAGTACACAAAATGCAGTTTATTCTTGTGTTATTATTATTTGTTGATTATTGTATTATTTTCCATATGAACAATTGTAAACCTACTTTTGCCCCATCCTATAAAACAGGTTCAAAACAACTCCAGAACTTCAACTTTGACTTCCTGCCTCCCTCTGTCCCTCTTGTATCCTCATCACAGAGTTCAGCACATTCTATATGTCTTCATTGCTGGCATACACATGTCTACTTGGTCCACAAGTCCTACTCCCACTTCATCTATGCATCCACCAGAAAAATCGCTTTTTAAAGTAGAATCTGTTGAAGTCCCTCTTATGTGTAAAACCCTTCAACCCCGCCTTTCCCCCAAACTCAAGGGTATGGCATCCATTATTCCATTATCTCAGCCCCTAGTGACTCTCAGACTTATTGCTCACTGCTTGAATACTATCACGAATGTTTGTATTTGCTTGAAAGGACATTTTTTGTGTGTTTCTCTATTTGTGTGTGAACCCCCTTCTCTTCTGCATCAGGAATGCCCTGTCCTTCTTTCCTCCCTCCCGCTGATCCATATTTTTCATCTGGAAAATTTCCACTCATCTGTCAAGACTCTGCTCACATAGTACCTCCTATAAGACCGTCTACAACCCCCTGGCTGGGTCAGGGCTCTATGAAGGTGCTCTTTTTGGAGGTGGCCTGGGCTTCCCTTCATTGCAACATATACAGTAGTTTCCCCTTATCTTCAGGGGATACTTTCCAAGACCCTCAGTGGATGCCTGAAATGGTGGTTGGTACTGAACCCTATATGTATTATGTTCTTTCCTAATCATGTACACCTAAGATGAAGTTTAATTTAAAAAGTAGGCAATTTTACACATAGAAGATTCATTCTTACCACAAACCTTAATAACCATGGCATATGCTTTTTCCCCCCCTTTCCTTGTTAAATCAAGAACGTTCACCTTTTCACTTACAAGAAGAACTTAACGGATTCTCTTTGGCATATCCGAATTGCCAGCATCAGTAGGCTTCTGCTTTGGGGCCATTATTAAGTAAATAAGAGGTCCTTGGATACAGGCACTGCAATATGGAGACAGTCAATCTGATAACTGAGACAGCTACTAAAGGACTAAGGGGCAGGGAGCAGCTATGGTGTGGAGAGGCTGGGCAAAGGGATGATTCACATCCTCAGCGGGATGGAGCCAGAGCCCTTGAGACCTCATTATGCTTCTCAGAATGGCATGCTATTTAAAACTTATTAATGGATTATTTCTGGAATTTTCCACTTAACATTTTTGGACTGGTAACTGACACTTCAGAAAGTGAAACTACAATTTCGGGGGACTACTGTAGTGCATATTTTATTATAATCAATTAATCACTTTTCTATCTCTCCACTAGAGTGTGAACTTACTAAGCGAGAATGTAAGCTTAATGAAGGCAGAGAGCTTCTATTATTTATCTTTGTATTCCTAGCACAGAGCAGGGAACATGGTAGGCATTCAGAGAAATGTTTACTGAACAAATGAATAAATTAATTCATGGCCATCTAACATGTACATGTGGCAGTGCTCGGCAACTCCACATACCTTTCCCCTATAATCTTCACAACCTACGGATAGGTTGCTAATATGCTAATTTTATGACTATTTACCCACACACATATGTATACGCATACACACCAGCCAGCCTCAGCCTGGAGAGATACATGTTTCCTTTGGCTTTCTAAAACGCCTGCCACCTTCATTCTCCTAAGAAAGGAGCGTTTGATTTGACTGGTTCCACGAGCTGAGGTTAAGCTCTCCTTTCTCAGGAAGATGTACAGTGGTTAAAAGCACGGGCTTTGAAGTTCATTAGAGCTAGCCTCAAATTCCAGTTCTTCATACTAACTGAGATCTTGGGCAAGTTATTTAAATTTGAAAACCTGGTTCCTCACTTATTTCAAAGAGTTGGGATGAATTAAAGTCATTACATATATTAGCACAGTCCTGGACATCATAAACCAGTGATGGCGAACCTTTTGAGCTCGGCATGTCAGCATTTTGAAAAACCCTAACTTCACTCTGGTGCCGTGTCACATAAGAAATTTTTTGATATTTGCAACCATAGTAAAACAAAGACTTATATTTTTGATATTTATTTTATATATTTAAATGCCATTTAACAAAGAAAAATCAACCAAAAAAATGAGTTCGTGTGTCACCTCTGACACACGTGTCATAGGTTCGCCATCACTGTCATAAACAATCAATAAATGGTAATGGCTATTGTATCGAATGTATCTCTATGCATATTACATGTTACCATTCTGCTGGGCTGTTCCTGAGCCTAGTGTTAGAGTTGTTTTCCTCTCTTCTCCTCCCCTCCCCTCCCCTCCCCTCCCCTCCCCTCCCCTCCCCTCCCCTCCCCTCCCCTCCCCTGTTTTCTCTCTCTCTCTCTCTCTCTCTCTCTCTCTCTCTCTCTCTCTCTCTCTCTCTCTCCTTTCTCCCCTGGCTCTCTCTAGACTGAATGCTCCTAGAGAGAAATATTCATGTCTGATTTTTGCTCCAATGCCTAGTATGGTGCCTTCCATCTATCAAGAGCGCAATACATGTGGGTTGAATAAATAAGTGACTGAATCCATATCAGTTATGCAAAGCCACTTAACTCAAGCACAAAAGACGAGTGTCCTGCCGTTTTCTATGTGGAATTAATCCTTTCTACTCCTTTGCCCATGGTTTTAATGCCACTTGTGGAATTTCCTCGTGTCAAGGCAAGGGTGAGCAGCAACAGACATTTAGCTACTTACTGCCTCACCTAAATCTAAGGATGCCGTCTCCGGGCCTCGAAGAGGCTGCTGGCCTCTCTGTTCAGCCTCCGCCCCGATGAGATCAGCTCCATCAGCCTTCTTCTTGAGGGATGCGGTTTTCGATGAGGCCTCCAGCTTCTTGGCTTTGGTTTGAGTTTGCGAGACGGGTTCACTCAGGTCGAGGAGGTCTAAGCCTGTGGTCAACACTGTGAGAGACGGAAGAGGTTGAGACAAGCCCACTCAGGGCTCTGAAGTCACGGTTAAAAAGGAGGCTTCGGTGGGTGCAGAAGGAATTTGTGTTTGTAGTGTAGGTTAGAAGCACAAAGTAAGTTCGCTCACCACTGATTTGTAAAGACAGTCTGCATTTACATGGGGAAGTTTGCTGCCTGATCTTTGTATTTCGCATGGTATAAATCCGCAAAGCGGGGTTTAGATCAGCCCTCACCAGTGATGAAGGTTTGAATTGAAATTCAAGTGATGAAATTGAATCTGAGTTCAGGTACCATTTACTTGGCTTTGCTTGACTTATAGAGGTTTATTTTAGAGTGCAGTTTTTTTCCCAGAGAAGAGCCAATCTAGCCCTTTCAGGGATATGCTTACGAAACAGTTATGAGGATGACTTGGGCAAGTTTCTGAATGTCTTTGTTTTAATTTCAAGTGACTAAAGCAAACACTGTACAAAAAGAATGCTGCTAATTATCTTCTATTTGATTAAGCAATTCAATCAGAAAATGGCTTGCTGTTTGGGCTCAACTAGAGAGGTGTTTTATAATCCATAGTTGATGAATAGGTACACATGTTAATGACTTTTCTGCTTAATATGCAAATTTAAATTTCAATGTAACAAATCATAAAACGGTTAGACTTTTACTTCCTAGCAAGTTGATTACATTGTATTAAACACTGTAATGTAGGCAGCAATAATAATCTGTTCAAGTGCAAACGAGGCAAATGAGAATTTAAAAGGCAAGCTTTGAAACTCTTCATCCCTCTTGCTCTTACAGTGCAAGGGACCAGTGTTTGGCCTAGCTCCTTGTGAGAAGTGGAAACTTCTAATCAGAGAAGTTCCCTTCCGCTGTACCTGAGGCTGGCTTCTGAACTGGCTTGGTGGCTTCCTGGCCCAGGATCTCCTCACCCAGCTAGCTTAGAAACACCACCAAAGTGACCGTAGAACTCCTGGGGTTAGCCCTTTCCGGCACCCTCTACAAGGACCGCACCCCTCCTCTTTGGTCTCCCAGCTTTTCCTTTTGGTAGGAAATGGATTTCTGTTGATGTCTCAGCTCTCCTCCACCTGCTTTCCCCTTGCACTCAAGACAGGTTAGGGCTCAAATGAGCTCACAATCAGGATTTCTTTCTTTTAAAAAAAATTTTTAATTGCTTTTAGAGAGGAAGAGAGAGGGGGAGAGAGATAGAAACATCAATGATGAGAGAGAATCATTGACCGGCTGCCTGCTGCATGCCCCACACTGGGGATCGTGCCTACAACCCGGGCTTGTGCCCTGACCAGGAATCGAACCGCGACCTCCTGGTTCATAGGTCAGCACTCAACCACTGAGCCACGCCAGCTGGGCAGGATTTCTTTAGTGCTGCACTGTCCTCATGAGTTAAGCGTCCCTATGGGATCCTTCAGACAGTGTGCAAAGTTTTCCTCTCCATGATTTTGTCTTCTGATTTCAATGACAAATCACAGTGGTTGCATGTTGATGGTGACGTAGAAGGACCTGGCTGTATCACTGCTTAGCTGTGTGATTTGGAATAAGTTTCTTGACCGCTCTGAGTTTTAGTTTTATCACCTGAAAAATGCGGAATTAATAGTCTGTCTTTAAGGCATGATACAGAGATTTAATTTTCTAATTTGTAAATAGAATGTGTGAAACATAAGGCATACTGTAGGTACTGGATACATGTTATTGTCATTCTTTGGTGGCCAATGCCTGATGCTTTTCTTTGCTTTTCCTTTTTGTTGGTCTCCTTCTAGTTTCCCTGAGCCTATTTCAGGCAGGAACCAGCTCCAGACACTGACAGAAAGAGGAGAAACCACTGGGAGTAAAGTGGAGGATGAGACAGAGATAATGGTTCTGCAGAAGGTGCTATGAGGTACATTTATCATAAAATGGTCTGAAAGTGTTAGCTTATCTCATCCAAGTGTTGTGATGAGATGGGAGCCACTTTGCGATGCAAAGATGCTGTGAGAGCTGAGGAGTGTTTGTGGCTAGCAAGAACCCATGGGGAGAGAAGTGGCTTTCAGAGCAGAGCCGCCTGGCTTGATGGCTATGATTTACGCGTGGCACACAGCCCAGATAGGAGAGGACGCCACACATGTCATAGCCTTTGAATGTTTAATCAAAAATTTCCAGGCCACTGGTGTGTCGGCAGGGATCCTAGACCCATGATTTCCTTCTAATAGAAGGGAAGAAGTGGAACACAGTCTCTGGAACGCCATATATGTCTCCCTACTGACTGTAAAAGCAATTAGGAATCAGTCACTTGCTCCCACACTTCTTTTAGGAGCAAATGATACAGGACTCATCTACTTGTATAAGGGAAGTACATTTGCTACAAATAATAACAGGTGAATATTAATTTAGTTCTATATCTGCTTCTCACCATTCAGAATAAGTGAATTATTAAAATAGTGAATTTCGAATTCAAGCTTGGCTCAGTAACATTCCTTCCCTCTCCAAACTGTCCTCAGCACTTCCTGTGTTTGTTTGGAGCTCTCTCTCTCTCTCTCACTCTCTTTCTCTCTCTCTTTCTTTGTTCTTCTCCCAGCAAATGGGAAACAAATGCTCAGCACACACAAGAGGCCTTATTTGGTACCCGGTCGATAAAGGGAGTGGCCTGAAGTTGCATAGAAAACTTTGAAGCTGAGAGAATCTCCGGAACCACAATTTCAAAAGCAAAGAAGGATGGGTGCAGCTTTTCACCTCTTGGAGGAAGACAAAGCACATTTTAGGGTGTGTGCATGTGGGCTTCGAAGACTAGCCTGGCCCAGAAGGGGGTGTCTGCGCTGCTGATTTTCTTAGCCCAATTTAAAAGGTTCTCTTAGGCGTATGAAGGTTTGGGTTTCAGAATCAGTGTGTTTCAATTAAGATAACCAGCTCTTATAGTGGATGTGAAAATGTTTGTGTGCAAGGGGTGTGTGTGTGTGTGTGTGTGTGAATGGGGGGGGGGGGGGAGAAAGAGAGAGGAAGAAGGGAGAAAGAGAGAGAGAGAGGCTTGATGATGCTATGCTATTGGCTTTGGAGATGGAGGAAGGGACCACAAACAAAGGAATTGCAAGTACCCTGTAGAAGTTTGGAAAAGTCAATGAAATGATTTCTCCCTTAGAGCTTCCAGGGAAAATGCAGCCCTGCCAACACCTTGATTTTGGGCCTGCTGACTTAGAATTGTAGGGAAATACATTTGTGTTGTTGTAAGCTACTAAATTTGCGGTAATTTGTTACAATAGGAAACTCAAACACCTGACAGCACGTTGCCCATAAGAGGATTCAAACACAGGCCCTGCCACTCCCGAGTGTATGTTCTTCCCCACTCCTCTTTACACTTGATCTGAACCTAGAAGCAAAGAGCTAATTCTATTGAGGCGGCTTTATTTTTTGTTTAGCTCCCAATTATTTGGCAGATTGGGTTGTCCGAGGCATCATTTAAATAGTAGGCTATTCCAGAAACTTTTGTTTTTATAACCTAATTTCATTGGGTGAGATTTCCTGAAGATAGAATACATAAGTATTTGTGCCCATCTATTTCAAGGACACCTGATTGAGGATCACACCCTGTTGAACTGGATGACTCCCTCAGGGCACGGCAGATGTTTATGAATACTAGATTACATGGGCCCTGGGAGGTGAGGCTGCTTAAAACAGTTAGAATAAAATAGCACCTCTAATGAAGCCCTGATTTGATACTTAGATGGGACACACAATGCTATTAACACCACTACAGTATAATGAGCCTCGGGCTTTTAGTGAATTTCTCTAAAGAAATAAATCTACATGGAGTGGTCAGAGAGGACGAATCAGGGGACAGCCCTGACGTGCAGTCACAGAACACGCGACAGGGAGCCCATAGGATCTCTGTTCTGTTCTATAAGATTCATTTAACATAGTGGCTTCGAAGCAAAGTCCTTTCAGGAAGCATTTTAGCAGTGATGTGAAATAGATAAATTAGACCCAAATAATTCAAGCAACTTTTGCCTTTTTATTGGAATATGTAATTAATGCTACTTCCCAAATTTCTATGTTCTCTCTAGAGACATGCCATTTGATTCATGGCTACTTGGGCTTCATAAATATTCTATATAACAGCGGTCACCAACCGGTGGTCCACGGACCACTGGTGATCCACGAGGTCTGAAAGTTTGGCAACTGCCGTTATGTAATAAAAGCCTAATATGCTAAGTGTCTGGTCATTCGATCGGCCTTTCAACCAAGCAAATAACATGCTAAAGCCACTCAACTGCTTGCTGTGATGTGCACTGGCCACCAGGGGGTAGACACTCCGACCAGTAGGTTAGCTTCCTGCTGGGGTCCAGCCCATTGGAACTGAGCGAGACAGGCTGGACATGCCCTGGAGCCCTCCTGCGGTCCTTCCCTGGCTGGCCAACCTTCTGCATCCTTCCCTGGCCCTGATTGTGCACTGGTGGGGTCCCTCCGCCTTACCTGCACCCTGTCGCAATCCGGGACTCCTTGCGGGTGGAGGGTGTTTTGGAGAGCTAGTTTTGGTCTGACAGTGGAACGACTGGTCTCTATGAAGCACACTGACTACCAGGGGGCAGACGGTCAACATAGGAGCTACCCTCTGGTGGTCAGTGCGCTCCCACAGGGGGAGCACTACTCAGCCAGAAGCTGGGTTCACAGCTAGCAAGCACAGCAGCGGTGGCAGGAGCCTCTCCCACCTCCACGGCAGTGCTAAGGATGTCCTACTGCTGGCTTGGGCCCATTCCCCGTGGGAAGTGGGCCTAAGCCATCAGTTGGGCATCCCCTGAGGGCTCCTGGACTGTGAGAGAGCACAAGCTGGGCTGAGGACCACCCCCCCAAGTGCATGAATTTCATGCACCAGGCACTGGGCCTCTAGTGTATTTTGAAAATATTACACTAATTTTGCAGTTAAGATATTTAATTAGCTGATTGGCGGTGATGGTCAACTGGGGAAAAAGGAGACATGTAAAACTTTAGACAGAAAAAAAAGATATTTAATTAGGTGG